GTATGTCAGCAATATAGGATGCAATGGGGAGTTGTAACAACCCCCGATCAAGAGTAAACTTATACCCTGAAGGGAATAGTTTACGAGGATTAGGAAAAGGTATTTAATCCTTGCTAATACGAAGTGATGGGGGAGCAGGACTTCGTCTTTCGACTTCATCTAGAACGGAATTAGAGATGGGATCTGGAACGGATACATTCTTATGTTTAAATGGGAATCTCCTATAAACATTAGTGCATTTACAGATTTTAAATATAATGTAACTTAAAAATTAAAGATCACTACAACAATTAAAATTATATTATAAGAGTTTTCAATAGGACAATATTTTCCTTACTTACTAACTTATCTAAATCTTTGAAGACATTTTCTTTTCCATAGATAATTGAATCTAGATCAATTTCTTTAAATTAACAGTGGGTAATTGAGTACTTATTTGAATAACTTTCTATGTTACAACAGGAGTCATTAATTAGCTAATCTTATTTTTAAAGGCTTAAGAATAATAACAGGATAGTTTTAGCTATAAGTTTGGATCTTTACATTGCAACACTACCACAGGTAAGTGTAAGATTCCGCTTCCGCTTTTTCTAATTCTACAGTTTGCGTTAAATTATATATTATACTCAATTTAGTTTTCTCAGACAATATAAATAACCATCTTTTGTTGTAAAGGCTGCCAAATTTCAAAATGGCCATGGAAGAATTTCGTCTTACACGTTTCAGGAATATAGGTAAGTGCCTTAGTAATTATGTCTGTTTCACAGATAGGAGTTGTGAAAGTAGAGCGTGATATGACGTCATCGCAGATGTAAGTATCTCTATAATTACTTTACAATTTTGGAGTTCATCTACTTTACAATAAAGAGATTTGTCGTTACTCAGGCCAATTACTTAGAGGATGGTATATGGTAGAATAAGAGGTAGGGTTCTCCACATTAGTGGCTTGGATGGAAGTTATGATACAATAGGAAATCAGTGGGGCTTAGTAATGGAATATGAAGGACGAAAACTAACTCGTTCTTTGTCATTATCCCGATATAGTAGAGATATTTAAGATAATATGAATATTTTCAAGACTTAGAAAGTTGGAAATTTTTTAGTTGGTGGATAAAACTGTAATTATTAATCAACTCTGTATAGAGTTCTTTAGGAGTTAGTATTCCGGGATGGCGCGTTGGACTTACTGAACTTGATTCCACCAGATCTTGTATTTTGAAAGATATAGTCAAGAGATTATTTCCTATCATTGATACGAGTTCTAGGACACGAGATTGAATTTTTAATTCACGAGACTCAATCGTAATATTTTCAACGGCCGTCGGAGAACACTAATGCGACTGAAATTTCACGTTGATTTGATTCTACGATGCTAATCGATTTATTGAATGTCTTTAAGGCTGATGTCGTAACTATAATATTTTCCTTTACAAAAGACGCTATTTTCTTTTCGTCTGATTGAATTTCCCTAACCGCTATCATAGTGTATAGCATCTTCCTCGTCCATGGTGCCGAATAATTTCTTAGAATAGTACCTATAACACCTAGTAAAGCACTCCTTTTTGTTGAGTGATGTGAGGCAAGATTTGGTATGGCTTCACTATAGCGAGTCATATCTTCAATTGAATTATTATAGGTTGAAATAAATTTTTACATTCTAAAGAATTAAACACTAGACTCTCTTCGCAAATTAATTTAGAATAATTTATACTACGTTGTAAATTTATTAAGTGAGGTTTTATTGAGACTCTATAGGGACTACGACACTAATAACTAATTTGTTCAGGGAACCCACGGGATCGAAGTAAATTCCGGGGCTATTAATCATCTGTTCGATGAATTGTTGGGCCATGGAGGGATTGCTGAAAGAGGAATAGAAAATATTAGACTAAACTTATCGAAGGCTTATTAGCACTAGGGACTTACAATTTAAAGACCTAATAAATAGTTATTACTTTAGTGTTTACTAATCTGGCGAACTGGACCTAGGTGCGAGCTTAACCTCATCATAGTGATGAGTAACATGCGTCGGTTTATAAGTAAGGTAAGGCTATTTCGTCCATTAATTTTTACTACCTTGTACGGTCCCTTCCATATGGGTGACAGAGCCTTTCGTAGGCGCACGTGGTTCTTAAGGTAAACGTAATCGCCTATTTGATATCTAACTGGCCGTGAATGGTTATCATAATAGTCTTTAGACCTTTCCTTAGATCTAATAATATTTTCGGTTGCTTTTTCCCTGGATAATTTGAGTCTATGATGAAGGAATTTTATATATTCAGGATAAGTTACATCAGGTGGTTGTTCGTAGACGGAATCAGGAATGTATGCCTTATGACCGAAGAGGAGTTCATAGGGAGTAAAGTTGTGGATGCTGGACAGACTGTTTGATAACATTGCAGTAAAAACATATTTTGCAATTTGTGTGATTCTCGTTAACATAGGATTTCAAATACTCTTTGAGCGTCGAGTGGCTTCTTTCTAGAGCACCTTGAGTCTGTGGGTGATAAGGTGAGGACCAAATTTGTTTTATTTTAAGGAATTCGCATGTTTTCTTAAATAATTCTGCAGTGAAGTTGGTGCCTTGGTCCGTCAAAATCATCCTAGGTATTCCGAAATAGTGATATAAAATGAACAAGGCATTCGAATTGTCTTCGAAGGCTGGCAATAGGATACGCAAAGGAGAATTTAGTAAGGTCGTCTTCATGGTAAGGATGTATTTAAGAGATTGAAGACCTGCCTCGGGCAGAGGACCGACATCCATACCAATACGCTCAAAAGGTTTTGTAGAGGTAGTCGTTATTTGCTGGGTCCGATTCGTCTGTCTAAGGGCTTTATTACTTTGGCACAATGAACAATTCTTATATAGGTTTCCACATCTGAACGCATGTTTTTCCAATAGTATTTCTCTTTTATTCTATTTAGCATGCGTGCGGTTCCGAGATGACCTGCTATAGGTATGTCATGGTTGTCGTGTAATATTTTACGTATTTCTGAAAGTGAAGGATATATGAGGCGGTCGTGGTATATCTTAATTTCTATGTTGGTATTTGTGAAAATATAAGAGAATATTGTAAATTCTGGACCAGGTGTGTTTATCAAAGCTATTACGAAAGTCAGTATACTACTTGAGTTTCGTTTCGTGGAAGATGTGGTTGAAAAGGAGTAGTATAGACTTAGTATAAAGAAGGCTTTTGAAAATTTCCTCGTAAGTACAGCTATCAAAATGATAGACTTTGGTGAAAAGAAAGTAGATATTTTTCCCGTTAAGTTCAAAGGAAAGACAAGTGTTGTGTTCTTTCTTTTTGTAAGATTTCAGATGGATCTTGAATTTCACTTAAGATTTGTTCTACGTATGGATTTGATTCGTCGAGGCTCTATTGAGGTGGGTATAAATATATGTTTACTACTAGTTTTGAGGATATTGTCATTGTATTCCTGTATTCTAGCACTATTAAAGGATTTATTGGATTTGCTTTCAGAAAGCTAGAATAGCTCTCATTAGTGGGAACAGGTGACGCAGGAATGGGTAAGGATGGATTTGTAATTTCTTCGGGATTCTGAGTAATTTGTGGATTTAAAGGATCATTAATTCGAGGTGAATGTTTTTTATCCTCGGGGTTCAAGAGGTCTGTTAAAAGGTCCTCATTATCAAGGAGGTCTACGGATGGTAAGCTGTCAGAGTCAATAGGAATTAGGGGTATTTCACCGAGATCTTCAAGGGTTATTGGACTGAAAGGCTGACTTTGCCTGGAAGTAGAAGGAATGGGATGATCAAAAGGATTTTGTATCGGATTTACCGGGAATCGAGAGAGTGCGTCGGCCTTTATCTTACCCTTCTTATACTCAATTTTATAATCAAATTCCTCTAACCTTAGTCGCCACCTAACTAACCGGGAGCCAGGGTCTTTGCAGTTAAAAAGCCATTAGGGGCCTATGGTCATACGATGGTAAATTTGTGTCCGTAGAGATATGGTCTAAAAGTCTTTGTTCCAAACACGATAGCGAGACATTCCTTTTCTGTTGTCGAGTAATTAACTTCTGCTTTGTTCAGTGTTCTTGAAGAAAAGGCAATGGGTTGATCTTTACCTATCTCGCCCTGGGATAGTATCGCAGAATAGCATAATTGGACGCGTCGCATGTTAGCACAAAAGGATTCGTGAAATCTGGGTAAATGAGGATAGGAGCGAAATTAATTTATTTTTTAAATCGTCAAAGGCTGCTTGTTGTTCTATTGACCAATTGAACAAAACATCTTTTTTAAGCAGAGTGGTTAACGGTTTAGCAGTTTTTGAGAAGTCTGGAATGAATCGGCGATAATATGACACAAGTCCTAGAAATGACTTCACATCTTTAGGACACTTTGGTACTGGGAATTTGGAAACGACTTTAACCTTTTCAGGGTTAGGACTAACCCCGTTTTCGCTGATTACATGGCCCAAATATCCGACCTCTCTACGTAGAAATTCGCACTTGTCTGGTTGTAACTTTAAATTATATTGACGTAATTTACTAAAAATCTTACAAAGCTTGTCACAATGGGAATTTAGGTCATGGGATAGATGACTATATCGTCTAAGTAGACGTAACAATGTATACCCTGTAATCCTGCTAGCGCAGTATTCATAAGCCGTTGGAAGGTTGCAGGGGCATTCTTTAGCCCAAATGGCATACGTTTAAATTCAGAAATGTCCTTGAGGGACAGTAAAGCGTTTTAGGGGTATCTTTTTCTGAAATGGATATCTGGTGAAAACCAGAACAAAGATCAAGTGTAGTGAAATATTTACTCTGTCCTAGTTGGTCTAAAATCTCGTTAATCTGTGGAATTGGGTAACTTTCACCTACGGTTATGTCATTGAGTTTTCGATAGTCTATCACGATGCGCCATTTGGTCTCCCCTGAAGAGTCTAATTTCTTAGGTACAATCCAAATTGGGAATGACCAGGGTGAAGTTGAAGGTTTAATGATATCTTGTGAGAGCATTTTAGAAATCTGTTTGTCTACTTCTTTTTATGAATCTCAGGGAAACGGTAAGATTTCACATTAATTGGCTCAGCGGGATGTGTATTTATTTCATGTTTAAGAAGGTCAGTAGTAGTCAGTTTGTCACCTGGTAAATAAAAAATGTCAAAATATTGCGAACAAATATCGGTTAAGGAGTTTTTCTCTTCATCATTTAAGTGATCAGTTCTTAATAGATTTAGTACTTCTTCCCTACGAGAAATTGTCGATTTAGCAGAGGTGATATCAGGGTCTACTTGGAAGGAATTGACATGGAGGGGTTGTATTCTAACTTTAATATCAGAATCTAAAGTTATTAGTTCCTCCGATGTATTTACTACGGATATATTCACTCGATTATTATTCTTTACAGAAACTATGCAATTGGCTATTAAGAGTGAGTCTGAAAGGTGTTGATCTAAGATTAATCCAACTTTCTGTTCTGGGTTGGAGACAGTGCATTCGATTATCGTCTCACTACGGGGAAATATCTTATACACAGGGCACTTAATCTTTTGATAGTGAAGTTCCGGATCTTTAGGACATCGGAATTGTAATCTATAATGCCATCTAATCATTGAGAAAATCGGTACCTATTATCCCGTCATAACCTAAATCTATTTTCTCTACAACGTGAAATCGATAAGCGAGATCTGTGTCAATGCCTACAAATAATTGAAGTTGAAAATGACCTAAAGTAGGTACGGTTTCGTTATTGGAATTTATTCCCTTGAGTTGGATTTATCATCTACGAGATTTGGCATAGACGTGATCGAGGTTTTCTTTATCAAACTTACGCAGGAACCTGTATCAACAAGAAATATAAGCGGTTGTTGATTGACTTGGGTATTGAGACTAACATGAGGTAAGTATCTTTTCTGTGAATTTGTTGTTACTTCGTAGACTGGATAATTTCTTTCTGTTCTAAATGACTCGTCTTTGTAGGTATTATTGGAGTAGGACAAGGACTCGGAGTATGTTTCTTATTTTGGAGTTGGCTAACAGATTTTGCACATGAAGATTTAGTAGGTTTCGAAACATTAGTGTCAAATGTAACATGTTTAGTAAGTAGGCTGGACTGGAGGACACAAAAGGATTGTTTATTTTTTGCTTTGTAGTAGAACCTTTACAAGTTCGAGATTCATTAGACACGGTGGGGGAATTCGATGCAGAGGATACGGAGGATACAGTGGATACAGTGGGTTTTTTACTCAGAAACGATTCAGTGATCCCTTTCTGCGAGGGGATACAGAGGATTCAGTGGATACAGTGGGTTTATTATTAATAAACGATTCAGTGGTTCCCCTTTCTGCGAGGGAATCCGAAGGATTCGGGGAAAACGGGGGGTTTTTTTTTTAAAAACCCTCGATTCAGTATTCCCTTTCTGCGAGGGGATACAGAGGATACAGTGGATACAGTGGGTTTATTATTTATAAACGATTCAGTGATTCCCTTTCTGCGAGGGGATACAGAGGACCCTTTTTTTTGGATACAGTGGAACAGTGGGTTTATTATATAAACGATTCAGTGGTTCCCTTTTTGCGAGGGGATACGGAGGATGCAACTTGTGCATAGGACTTGGCTCTAGATACAGTGGAAACGAGGAATGGTGGGTGCCATAATTATGCCAAAACGATTTGTTTAAGACTTTGGGTCTCACAGGGCACCGCTGTGAGTCCTTATTCGTTTAAATGATCATCCGTCTCGTCTTGTCCGCTTCATTATCTGCTAGGTGATGAACCCTGTTCTGGTGAGGAAATTTCGTTGTACGACTTGTAGCGGGCTTGGAATTGTTGTTGCTGTTATTGGCGTCGCTAGCACGGTTGAAGCTACTACGATTGCGATTATTATTATACTCACGTTTTCTACAATTTTCGATTACTGTCGGGAACTTACAGTATCGACAATGGGAGCCGGTTGCTTATTTAAATTATGTACAGGCTCGTGCAAGGATAGGATTTGAGATTTTGTTTATAGTTCTGAGACCTTTAGTTTCTAAAAGCATTTGCTTTTTCCTCTAAAATAGCTTGATTAGTGGCCTCATTGAGGCTCTGTGGGTTTTTCATTCTAACAAAATTAGAGATTTTAGGGTAAGGCCCATTATAAAACAATGTAAGCCAATTCTTCCATAGCGGATATCTTACCAGACAGTTCGACCTTTTTCTTATTAGATAGTGAGATCTCGGTTAGTAATTTATAAAGGCTAGATTCCACTCTCAAGGAGTATTGGCTAACCGATTCGTTAGAGAGCTGTTGGCTCTCTTGTGGTCAACAATAAATGTGCATAATGCTTGCGCTCTCCAATTGGGATTGTAAAAATTGGCCAGCTGTTCCCAGCTTTCAAAGTCTTTAATGGACGCCGGTTTCGGCTTGTTTTCGAGTTGGCATAGTATGTAATTTAGCAAAAGGGGCTTTTGACTTTGAGAGGCTATTTAAAAGCATATCGCAATATTTATGAATGAACATAACTTATCACGAGATCCGTCAAAAGGTTTTATGAACTTTAACAACACACTTGTCTCTAATTTTTCGGACATACTGCTCTCAGACCTTAATTCGACATCCTTCTTTGTGGACATTTTAACCAAATTTAGAATTTATATGAGAAATATATGCGTAAATGGGATGCGCTAAGATAAGTAGCAATATTTAGAAATATTAATTCGTCGAATTAGAGTCTGTTGTTTGGTGTAACTAAACAGTTTTTCTTTTATAAACAATGGCGAGACTGGAGCTTCCTCTCGACACGACGCGAGACAGATAACGCTGGATAATATAGTTATTAAAATTAAATCACTTACAGGTTCAGGAACATAATAATATAATATGCAATATGCATAATTGGCAATTAGCCGATTTTACTGCACTTAAAACACTTTCGTTTTTTTTTTTCACTTCTGGGTATAGCACTATTTTTCACTTTAAACTTTGCACTTTCGAATTTAGTTTCTTTTTTCGGAACTGGACTTTTCCGCGGAGGGTACACGAGATTTATTAAAAATCCCTTTTCGCTGCCACCAATTGTTACACAGAACAATAATAAGATCTTTTTAAAAAAAAGATTTAATGAATTCAATTACAAATATATTGATTTAGAAATACAAAGGAAGTAGTATTAAAAATTAGCACGTCTGATCGGACAGGAGCTAGGAGATCGACTAAATGGATGGGAAATGAGAGGTTGTTTGTGCTGGGAAGAAATGATGACGAGGATAGGGCTTAGGGTATGTCAGCAAATAGGATGCAATGGGGAGTTGTAACGTACGGTTTAAACCATTTAGTGCAACTTGAAGTCGGTTTTTAACTGCCCTTAACTATTTAAATTTTTATCAACTATATTTATAGCCGCACCCACCAAAAAGGCAAAGATTTTAATATTTGTACATTTTTAATTTAAAGAAGTAAAAAAATATTTTTTTCATTATTCCCGACCACTTCTTATTGTTTGGCCGTGTAAAGAATTCATCATATATTGCCAGAATTCACTTCAAGCGTATTCATTTACACGATTATGTATAAAGACTATGCCAGACAATTAAATATCATTTAATTAACTGAAATTGACCTTAGAACCTAAATTGCCTTAGAGTTTATGTAATTAATGCATAATACCAGTATACACTGATGTACATATATTTTAAAAGAATACATACAATTTGGTGGTGAAGTTGAGTAGTCAGAAATATTGTCGCACACCAACAATACATAATATTTCAGGTATGGGAGTTCATTGACCGCTAAAATTGCAGACGCCTTAAATTAAATAAATAGTATCGAAAACTTTAGGAAACGTATTGTTTATTTACTTAATTACTAAGAACCAAGTTCGCTATATTTTTAACGGTTGTTCTTAAAATTATCCTTATCATTTTCGATGCTGGGAAGATACTGAGATAGTTTTTGGGAAGAATACAAGAATTACAGTTATGTGATTTAACTTTGATGACATTTAATAAAAATTAATGATAAAAGTAGTCTGTGCCTGCCAATTCTTGGTATCCCGAGTTCCGTTGTGGGAGAAAACGGAGCGTTAAAACAACGGTGAACGTACAATTTAAAATATTCTAATTACAAGGGAGGCTCACTAATACTTCGGGGGAGGTTCGCAAAGTGACTTTTTATGTTTGTGTTTAAGTAATTAGAAGCTAATTAGAACTGACTCCGCAACCATAGCAACAAGGAAAGTCTTTTCAAATACTAAAGTTTTACAAACTGTCAACTACATTGAACGTAGTAATTTTTTTCTGCGCAATTAATTGGTTTTAAGTAATTTCTGTGAATTATGACAAAATGATGTTAAGCAATTGTATATAATTATATATTTATTGTGTGTATCACAGTGTGTAAACACACATATATAGCCTACGCCTTTCAACTCGAAATAATTATGGTGATTCTACAAAATCAGCCATTCAGTTTATCCTATTAATAATAATAAATAATAATAATAAAATATACTCGTTACACTCATTTCCCTTATGAATGCTACCAATTTAAAATAAATATATAACAAAATTATATAACCAGTGAGTTGTAATATAGGAGGATAAAAGCGAGCCTTAAAAATCTATTGTTAAAGGTCGCTGAACCTTTAATGTTTTTAATTAAAGAAAATTAACGGAAATTGACATTTCAATTAGCTCTGCCCTTTTGCTCCTCACGTTATAATCTTCTAATGAGATGCCAGCCGATATATCACATTGTTGTTCACCTTGGGTACTACACATATTAGACGGGATATTTTAGTTGTATCCTTTTTTAGGCCATTCAGTTTTGGATTGTTCTTCTAACATCACTCTGTGAACGTAATGCTCCAATAGTGGTAATATTATTTTCTTAATTGTGTAAGTATGTAATCAGCCATGAATTAAACGAAAAATATTTCATTTTTTATATAACAAACGGGCTCACCTGATGTTAGCTGATACCGCCCATCGACACTCACATTGCCAAAGGGCTCGCAAGTGCTTTGCCGGCCTTTTAAGAATTGGTACGCCCTTTTCATGAAGGACCCTAAGTTGGTTTGTAAGATTAAATTTCTAAAATTGAAAGTATTTGATCAGCAAAATACTTAGAATAAATACGAGGTTCCTCGTTACACTATTAGGTTATTAATTTTATATTTAAAAAAAAAGGGTGCGTGTACTTATGTACGCGCGTAAGAAGTTATACTTCTTCGGCTTCTAATAGTTTTTGATTGCTTGCAAATAATTAATTACAATTAAATAATCAAAGACTGGAAAAGGAGTATTATAATCAATAAAGTTCAGTTTACATCTGAAAAATTAAAAAAATAAATATTTATTATTCTCTTACATTAAGTGTAACATAAATTCTATTATTATTCGAATGTTGTTTATAAATTATGTCCAATGCCGTAGCATCATCCGTGGGCAAGTTCATTCTGTTAATTTTGTGTCACGGTGCGCGCGCATCGTAAAATTTCACTCTCATCAATTTTTCATAACGCGCCTAAAGAAGTATAACTTCAAAAATAAAGTATCTAATAATATCTTATATTTTAATCATTTCAATGTATTTATGCTTCTTCAAAAATAAGAGCTATTTCCTTACTTATTGGTTTAAGCTTTGGATTAGTAGACCAATAAGATACCAGACAATAATGACGAGATTAAGTCGTGTCTGTCAACAAGACTTCCGAGAAAATTCGGAAATGTTATAATTGCTATGATAAGCATTATCTACATTACGTTGAATTATTTATTTACCATGATAATGTTTCTCACTTATATTGGTTGTATATAATATTGAGTGTGGCTTGATAATTCCGTGTGCGCATTTAAGAATTGCATGTAAATCGTACATCATCATCATCAATTGTTATACAGCCCCTTGTGGGCCTTAGCCTCCTCAATTACACTTCGCCATCGCAATCTATCAAGTGCTTCCCGCGTCCAATTGCGAACGCCTATTGTTTCTTGACAACTCCATCCCACCAACGCAGCCTAGATTTAGGATGTTATAAAGTTCTTCATTGTAGCGAATACGCCAAACACCGTCGTCGCATACAGGCCCAAAGATTCTTCGAAGAATCTTCCGCTCGAAAATAGGTAGAGTTAAAATTCAACGACATATGTCAGGCACAGAAGCCGAAAGTAAAACCTACTTGAGTAGTTTTAGTTTCGGTTTTTTTAAATACATATATTTCTATGATACTCTTTCTTATGTTTGAAGTCAGGCCATCTATTTAACAGCAGTGTTGTTTAACATTATTTAGAACAAAACAGTTGATGTGAAATGTCCCGTTATAGGACATTGACTCGACACAATCGGGTGTTGAATCCTGAGGACTTGTCAATGTTTGCAGCCTTCGGAGGCATCCTGAATGAGAGCACCGGATCTGATTAGATTTTAAATAAATAAAGACTTCATTTTAATCATGTACATACTTTGGACAGTAAAATCTAGTAGCTTTGTGATTATGGCTTTTATTTAAGAAAATATATAAGTGCTATTTATTCCTATGCTAAGATTAAGTTGTGTGTTTATATGGCTGTGGCAAGATAAACATATCTAATGAATTTGATAAATATTCCTTGATAAAATCAACGCATACTAATACAATAAACAGGCCTTAGTGTGAGCAAACAGCAGCTGATTTATTTATGTAGAAAAGTGATAACATAGCCTATGAGCATGGCAACACTCCGCAAATAAATGTAGGTAAATAAAGAAGTTGATTTGTAGCGATAATAAGTTATGATAATTCGAATGCTTCCTAATTTAAAGTTGGAATATTCTCGAAGGAAATTTTAGTCCCATTGTTATCCGTTGACCTCAAACCACCCACTTGGGTACAAAATGAATTTTGTATTCCGAGTTTCAAATATCAAATGTTAGTAACAGGGTTGATGAACCCAACTTCCGGTTCGGGTGAAATGTTCTATCATCCTTCAGCATCCCAAATTCAAGTATGGAACGTATAAAAGCAGTATTTTTTCAGTTTAACTCTAAATGTTTAATTATAGTATAAAATCCTTATACTTGGCTAAATGAATGTAGCATTTATTTTTCTATAAGCGAAGTTAAGCAAAAGTTGTCTTGGCGAGAAATGTGATGGGTGTACGCCGTACCGAAACACTCCTATTTCAATATCTCACTCGTGGCTTAAAATCTACACACAAATAGTATTTAAATGAATTTACTTTAATATTCTATGATAAATAATTTCGATTTATTAATTTAGGTCAGATAAAATATTGCAAATACATACATACAAAACTGAAGAAGTTTTTCAAAAAAAATCACACGTAGAAGAACTCACTTATTCATTTATTGTGTGTTTTAGTTTATAATTAGTTTTTTTTTTTTTTTTTTGTAGTTACTTGTTGAATTTTTCCCTAGCTACCTTGCTTATTGATGCGTATATGTGTAAAATTTGTGAAGTCATATTTTCTAGTATAATTTTATGCATACCCGGTTTTTAAAAACTTGTATATAAATAAATAGATATGAGAATTCCACGAGTTTTACATTACATACGAAATCATGTTTTGTTTGCCGATTCTCTCCATCGTTTCTCTAGTAAGGATTTCTCATTTCCTTTTATTTCTTATTC